TTATACTGTAAAAATCAAGGCATCGAAGAATCATTTTGTAACACAAATTCAAAAGATTGGTTTTAAACTGGCTTTGTACGGACTTAAGCTTTTCAGATCTCTTGGCTTGCGTGGGGAACAATATTTGTATTACAAAATGCTGAGCGGCCATATACCGAAAGGACTTTTAACCGAAATGCTAATAAGCTACGGCTCTCGAACCCGCCAGGCATCATCAGAAGCAAATATGGAATCCCAGAAGCGGAGCTGAACACTTACCTATCGGGTATATTATGTATGAAGCATGATGCAAAGCAGAATGGATGCAAACGCGTTTTAACAACGACTTGATGAAAAATCGGCGCTTGCTAGTTTGCATGCTTATGCCATGTGTGTACTGTACACTGTTCATTGTTTCTCGTTACAACATGGGCCTTCAGCTGCCACTGTATATTACTTTTTGACTTACAGTATGCTATGCACACATTAATAGCGTTCAGTCATTAAGTGACGTGATCCGGGTGTGATAAGTTAAAAAACGACGTTATGCCGTTTTGTTATTGCTGTTCATTGCGTATGCATTATAGTAGTTCTACCTATTTAGCTGCTTTCATTGATCATTGTTATCATATATTTCTGGTCACAATGCCGCTACAATATTGCACATTCCGTAGAAAGCTGGATAAGCGACGATTTACGATTTTCGAACTACAGCGATCTGTCTACCTTTACCGAGTTATTGTGTGTACTACCAGGTTGTCGCTGTTTGTGCTGCAAATATAACAACACTCAGGTAATAACAGTAAAATGTGAATAAGATGGTGAATGAAAACTGTTTAAGATGCCATCACCAAGTTCACAAACGAACCCACTTTTTGCAACGAACAACGATCAACCGATGCACGGTACAAAGGACAGGGCGTAGATCAGAGCTCCTTCTCACGCCGCGGAATAAATCTTTTCAGTTTCCAATCAATCAGAGCCTCTTGATCGTTACAGTAGCTGCTAAGCGATAAATTTTAAATGGGGAAATATTTTACAAAATAAATGAAAACATTTCTAAAGGAGAAAATTTCTGACTCAACATGGCTGGTTTTAGTACAACAACAAATCAGAACAACTATTACTCATCAAAAACATGGGAACCAATGTACGAATGAATACGCTCCATTCAATTAGTCAGTTTCAACGACGAATTATGATTTTAGATGGCGGAGAAAGACGCGGCAGACACTGTCTCATAAGTCTCCCACGCTGTTCCAACGGTTGAACTTAGGCAGAAGATATCCGGAGTCTGGAGCAGAGTCCTTCCACACACTAAGCCTAGCTTATTCTAGATGGTCCCCTTGGTCTTCGGTCGGTCCGTTGGCCAAG